ATCTAGATGTGTATAAGAGCCAGGCTTTTAGCCTGATAATCGAAATGAAACAAACAATATTCATTATTGTTCATAGTTACTGTTTATATTATTACTAATGTTATTACTATTATTATTGTAAATCATTATTGCTAATTTATCATTATTTTTGTTGTTATATTTGTTTTTGTTATCATGTAACATACACATTTGATACAATGGTCCTTTCCACTCCACTTCCGCTAATCTCTGACCCTTTGATATTGTTTGCCAAGGTCACTCAAAGCAACTTAATCATATGTAAACATTGTGTGTGTGTATGTGGGACAACATGTATGTTTGTAGGACATGCATATTCAGCCCTCTAGTTTAAGAATTGTTACTTTTAGTCTTAAGTATATGAAAGTAATAATATATGTATTTTTTCGCCTATAGAACGGTTGGAGATTTCAATGATTCTAGATTCACTGCAGGCGCCTTCTTCCGTTCATTAGGTGTCTTCTTTGGAGTGTTTATTGGTTCCTTTGCTATTGGTGCTCTTCTAGGCTGCTTGACTGCTCTTATATCCTTTATTTATGATTTAAACATCAACTAAGTGGTTCATGCATCCCACAACCAGCATCTATGTCCGCAATACAAAAATTGCCGTATTAGATTGTACATTGATATTCGCCACATTATATTTCAGAAGATACCTCATATACCGGATTTGTCTTACTGTTTCCAAAATTATGAGTAAAAGTATTATGGCTTACGGTATACAATGCTACCACATTCCTATGTTAAGTACTTAGTGCCATTACAATTATACAGTGACAATACGTTTTCTGTTGGCATGCCTCAAATTACTTGAATCTTGGAGCTTGTATTCACCTTTGTTAAGAATTATCCTTGTCGGAATTAAGTCTATTAAATAGCATTAATTTTAAGTTCGTAATATATATATTTTTTTATTGATTTTTAAAAATAATTATTATGCTTAACCAATAATGTTTACCTAACTAAATTTACCAAGGTGCGGGAGTTCCCTCTGCTTGAGACCGCCCTCTTTTTTATCATGTCTTACAGTTCGTACCTGATGGCAGAAGCAGCACAGTTAACAGGTAACATTTAAAGAAAGCTTTGTCCTTCTGAGCACCAATAGTGTACAGAAATAAATTTTATTACCTCCAACTATGCCCTCACCTTGTTTAAACAAATTTCCTTTCATATATACACAGCTTTAATAGGCAGTGAATAAACGTATACAAACAAGTTACATTTTGTGTTTCATAAACAAGAATTTTTTAAAAAGTGAAAAAAACGATTTAAAGCAAAGGTCTGCAATATATATGGGTTGCGGCCCAATTGTGGGATAAAGAACATTCTTTGAGGGCCACAAATTCACACAGGAAAAAAAATTTTGCTTCATTGATATATGCAGTTTATACAAAATGTTGTCATTTATTGAACAGATAATGATTTCAAATTATTATATATACAGTATCATAAGATCATGTAAGTAATTTTCATGATCGGAACTTCATGCCAGGTTTTGGTATGTTGGTCCGTGGTGTGGCTGGGCCGAGGCTTGGTGCTAGAATCTCAAGTTGGCTGTGAAGTAAAAAAGTTTGCAGAATGCTAATTTAAAGAACATTGAACTTATTAAATCAGGAGAACTTAGCTTGATACAGGTGCTAGTTGATGGAGCACTGCTCCTGCTACTTCAGTTTGAGAGAGTGATGATGTGAAAAGTTCAGTGAATATATATATATAGAAAGGACCCTTATTACATCCATTAAGTTGGTGTTTGTAATGTGTCCCTTCCTGTCTACTGCTAACATATACGTACTGTGAAATGTTAAATTGTAACCATCAACACAGTGATGTATTCAACATGCAAACAGAAAACAACATAAAAATGTTGTTTCACTGAAAATAATTGTAAGTTGGTGTTTTTTTACAGGAATTGTTGCAATCTTATTCTGTGGAGTAACACAAGCGCATTACACATATAATAATTTATCGGATGAATCAAAAAGGAGAACCAAAGAGGTAACTGCATTTAGATACAGAAGCATAATTTAAATCGTTCACAATCTTTAAAAATATATTTAATACTAGTTAATTATAAGTAATTTCTTTATTTCCAACATTAGGCTAAGTAAAGTAAATGATGTCACATATTAGCACTCTCAATAGTTGATTTTCATGGCTCGGTTATTTTTACCATTTCTCGTAGTAAAACTGACTCAAAAAATCCAAGTGCTTGCAATGGTAAGATTTACCTATTGACATTTTACCCACGGTCATGCAATACATATTGAAAAATAAGGACAGATTGTAAACCTAAAGTAGACTACAAACAATTATTAACCATCATTAAGTGCTCTAATAGCAGAAGGATAAACAGTTTTTTTTATTATTACAAACTATACCAATGCAGTTGCATTTACCTAGTTTGTTTAATACTAGAATAAAGCCAGCATTCCCATGGAACAGCACTCCAAGATATTAAAACAGTCCGATTCCCATTGGCCATATTCGAGTGGTCGTTCTTCGTTAAACTACGGCCACCTGCACAGTTGTAAAATCCTGTTTAACGAAAACGACCAGTCGGATAGAAAACAAAATGGCTGCATAGCTACCGCGATACACGCTGCGGATTCAAGGTTGCTTCGGCTTGTGGAAGTATGGGTTTTTGGTCAAAAAATGCTTTCATCCAGTTTTTGAATTCTGTTAGCCTACAATTATTTATTTACTTCATGTAGGTAAATATCATAATTTTTATTTTCTGAAATTTAATCTAAATTATATTAACGCAAATGTTGTTTCTAAACTCACCAATCGGCCATGTTTGTTTTGGTCACATCGATAAGTTAATGCTGATTAACTCACTCTGGTTTACGTTAATTTTAGTTTTCAATGAAGTCTATTTTACGAACCAGTCGAATGAAAATAATACTTAACTAAAAATCGTAGTCAACGAAATGAACCAGTCAAATAAGCCCATAGTCTTAGCAATGAAAGGAAAATTTCTGCAGCAGGACTGTTTTACTATTTTTGATGGGTATTGCATAAGTATTCGCAATAATCAATTATCAAATTATTTAATTCATAGACTAACAAAATCACTATTTCTGTAATTGTTTTGTTATTTTTGTTAAAGGGTAATGTTATCCCATGCAAGACACCAACAAATATTTTTTAAAATTAACTTGCTTATTTTTAGTAAAGTAACATAAAATCTGTGTATTTAAAAAATGTTTACTCATAACTTTACAGCAAAAAATGATAGAAGCGCTTCTAATCATTGGAAGTGTTATTATTTCTTATTATTTTTATTATCATTATCTAGTATAATAATGAAAAATACACATTCTTTTAAATTCAATAATTTCTATGTGCTATAATTTGTATGTAGCTGCATAATAAATTTCTAAATTAATTTTTATGATTTTTTGTTATTTTCAGGGGTCGATACATCTTTAATGTTAACACTTTTCCCTTGTTTTACAGCTATTTGAGTTGTTAAATTTTCTAGCTGAGAATTTCATCTTTTCCTACATGGGAATTTCCATGTTCAACAGAAATAATCAACAATTTGAGTTGTTTTTTGTCCTAGCAGCTTTTGTATCCTTTAATTCACATGATTTCATACCATCTTACTTGCGTTTACTTACAATTGCTTAATTGAAGTTAAATCTCAGTTATTTTTTATAAGACAGTCTTGCATTTAATTTTTTAATGGAGTTCTTAAGGTTTACTGTAGAAATTTAGCTAGGCTTTTAAAACTGCAAAAAAACTTGTACTTGTTGTAGTTGTCAAAAGATTATAAATTTCTCAATTAGTAGCAGCAATAAGATTACTGTAGCATTTAGCATTATATATAGTTGCATGAAATATAATAGGAGCAAAATTATAGATTTTATACAGCATTATTAATTTTAGTAAACATTTTTTTTTCTTCATAAATTTTTACGTGATTTGATCCTTAAATTGTTTATGCTTAGCTTGCCATCATTTTGGGACGCTTGTGTAATATTTACCCGTTGTCATTTTTACTGAATTTGGGACGAAAACAAAAGATAGGGATGAACATCCAACATATGCTAATGTTCTCAGGTTAATATCAATTTTTTTTTCTTTTTTTGTAGTATCTTTATCTGTAGCATATCTTTCATAGAAGTCCTTTTTATTTAATATGTTTGTTTTCATCTTAATAAATGTACTATCGAAGAAGCACCATCTCTTGACTGTACTACACTACTGAAGGCCTGAGCCTACACAACTAATGACCTCCAGTTTCATTTTTACTGTGATTTTCACCACCTTTCTGGCCTCCCTTAATGACCAGCAAACAAATAGATAGTTCTCACTTTACATCTCTCAATTACACCATTTGTGGTCCTCGCCCAAAATGTTTTATACCATCTACCGTATTTTCCTTGTCTACACCACTAATGGCCCTCACCAAAGGTCTTTGCCAACACAACTTAAAATCACTATAACTGCTTATAATAGATCGAATCGGCGGCTCGGGTCACGTGACTTATAGTGGGTTTTGGAATTTGTTTACAATCTATGAAATCGCCAGATGACAGTGCATTGATTATGGCTTCACCTTGTTGTTGTAAGCCACATCATAGATGTTGCAAATGTTGGTTAGAACGCAATTACAAATTGGTAAATCACTCAGAAGTGTTCCAAAATTAAATTTTTAAATAATTTCAGTTTGGTTTTGTTAAAGGCTCCATTGGATTGTTGGAATAAAGCCTGGAAAGGTACGGTACGTTCATGATGTGCATGAATCGTCGCCGGCCGAGGTACTTTTTAGGCCTACAAGAATATATTATTCAAGGAAACTGCTATCGCAGCATAAATAAATGAATCTCCCTTATGTGTCCCTTTATGATAGGTTTACGTGGTGCCATTGCATTTGCACTTGCAATAAGAAACACAGCTTCTGAGAGCAGGCAACTGATGTTGAATGCTACCCTTATCATTGTCTTAGTAACGGTTGTCTTCTGCGGGGGACTGAGTACGCAAATGTTAGCATGGTTAAAAATAAGGTATGTTTGTTTTTTTTTATATATTCCACGGAGAAATGACCTATCAGGCTGGGTGTATCAAACACTAACAGATCAATCATTGTTGTTACAATAAAATATTTAATAATTATGTTGTTTGTTTTACTTATTCACTTCTTTAGATATTTCTCTTAGAGCAACTGCTTATTTTATAAAACATGAGGAAATAGTTTAGTGTAATAACAATTCAGCAATTATCAATTGCTAAATTTTCTGATTTAATGTTTATGTTTTTTGAGCCAGCTACTTGAAGATGACTGAACTCTCTGTCCCTTGAAGCTGCTGATATATGTTCTTCCCCATCCCTCCCATTCAAAGTGCAGTACATGTACAGTAGATGATCTCCCTCCCAGAATGTACATGGTTCTGTATGTTGTAAAAAAAAGGTGATTGTTAATTATTTTACTTAATCTAAAATTATTTCTTTTTCCCTACTCATGTTAGAGTTGGTGTTGAGGATGAAGATGACCAACAAACACACCACACTATGGACTCTGTAAGTACTAAATATAATTCTACACAGAAGGGTAAATGCACAGGTATTTGAGAGGCAGTAGCTCTAGCTACATAATCTTTATTTATTTGATGGGAATTGGTTAAGTATTTCCAAATTTATGAACATTGAATGATAATGGATATCGGGCATGTAGGTTTTGAAAAACAACTGTTAAAAGATTTTTAATTACAAAGTCAATAATTTAATATTGATGTGTGCATTTAAAAACATATTTTTAATTATACTTTTTAGTCCAATTAGTGATCGTTATTTGATAGAATTGTTTGACAGTGTGTCTTCTTTCATTAACTGCAAATACCTGAAATTGATTGACATGCCAATTCTTTTCAAATTATTTCACTTTATATTTTAAATTTTCAAAAAAAAAAATGTAGGGTACGCTAGAACATCAACTGCATCGCCAGAGACAGAAAGAGAAGCAAGCAAAAATTGTCTCCTTGTGGTATGAATTTGACTTCAAGTATCCTTTTATTTTGATATTGCAAACTAAGTTCATAGGTCAAGATTTTCTTGAGTTGTTACTTAGTGTGATAATCCATATCAAGCTTTCAAGTTACTGTATACTTTAGTGTGAAAGTAATGTCATGGTCTGAGTAGATCTGGTATTGATTGGCTTGGCTTCAACCCCCAGATATGAGCATTTGAGGCTTCTCAAACCACGGGTGGATCAATAAAATGGGAAAACTCTGTTGTAGGTTGCCATAAACTTTAATAAACTTTGAATAACTTCTCATCATATTAGATTAATTTAATGATGTATAATATGTATACATATATCACAACATGCTGAATCAAATTGTGTCAAGTATGTCACATGAGACATCACATCACATCACAAGTCTACGCACTAAACATTGTGGACAACCTGATACCATATATGTAGAACTGTGATTGATAATTAAACCAAGGACAATGGATGTAAACTTCAATTCAATTCAATTCAATTGCACTTCGCTTCAAAATCAAATCTTCAGACACAACAGCAATCGCGCTTTATGTAATTAATGGGATAAGCCACATGGAATGTGCACATTACTATGAAGGGCACAGATGTATCAATGCATATGCTAACAAAGCTAATGGTACAACAATAAAGATCATCAATCAAAAATATGTAACAGTTTAAAGGATATATATTCTTAAATTGTACAATCAAAGGGGCTTGCCAGTTACAGAAACTTTGCTTCAGGTAGTGGAGGTGAGGCCTACAGTCTATTTAACTTGTTTAAAAC